TAAATTTTATTAACTTTTCATCCAAATTCCACTTTGATTAAACGTTGCATTTAAATTCCACTTTTATTTTCACCCAAATTCAACTTTGATTAAACGCTGCATTTAAATCCCACTTTTAATAAACATTGCACCCAAATTCCACTTTTATTAAACGTTGCATTTAAATTTCACTTTTATTAAACGTTGCACCCAAATTCCACTTTGATTCAACGTTGCGTTTAAATTCCACTTTTATTAAACCTTTCACCCAAATTCCACTTTGATTAAACGTTGCATTTAAATTCCACTTTTATTAAACCTTTCACCCAAATTCCACTTTGATTCAACGTTGCATTTAAATTCCACTTTTTTTTATTAAAGTAATCTTTATTAGTTATACATTTTTTTTAGTTATACATTTTTTAAAGAGTAAATAAATTCCACTTTTATTAAACATTGCACCCAAAATCCACTTTGATTAAATGCTGCATTTAAATTCCACTTTGATTCAACGTTGCGCCAAACCCCCGCCCCCGGGATGAAGGTGGCACCCCATCAATCCCAACCTATGTCCCGCTGTCTCCCTTCTTTTTTCAGGCCGTCCCAGAAAAACAGAGACCAAAGGCAGAGTCATTGTCCCAAGAAGAATTGGGGAAGAAGCATCAATCTACGGTATGTGGTCTTTTCTCCCCCCCAAATCCCTCTTTTTTTGGACAGGGGGGTCTTTGCAGCAATATTTGGGGGATTAATTTTGATGGCACATGGGGTGAATGAAGCAAGGCAGAGAAAGAGGAAGTAGCTATTTCAGCTGCTCTATTGGCTTCCTATTGAGGAAGTGGGAAGGGACTACAGGTCCCATGCTTCCCATTGGAAGATGGGTGGACTCCAACTCCCAGAATTCCCTAGCCCAGCGTATCACTTACCCATTTAATTCAGGGCTTCTAACCCATTTTTTTAAACCCGTTTATTGATTCAATTTGTGTTGTTGTTTTTTGGAGTTTGCTAAATTCAAGATATATTACGCCTGCTGAATTCCCACCGTCTATTAAGAAAGTTTCCCGATTCACAAAAATTGGCATCCTTTTTGGATTTTCTAGCCGCATTTCTTCTTCGTGCTGAATTCTGGGGGACCTTTTCCCCCCTGGGGAGTTCTGGGAATCGAAGTCCGCAGTTCTTAATAGTTGTGAAGGTGGACACACACTCGGCTTAGACAAACCACAACTCGCACCCGCCTATTAATGGCTCCCCGCCCTGCCATCTTCCACCCACCATCTTATGATTATTAATTTCATGCCTCCTCATTTCTGGGTGTCGTCCGTTTCTGAGGTCAAGGAAACTCCTTCCTGGCTTCAACAACAGCCGGCAAGTTGTCGTCGTCCTCAACTTACGACAGTTCTAGTGACAAAGTTACAAGGAGCTGAGAAAAGGGACTTAGGACCAGTCCTCATACTTACAACCGTGGGAGCATGTCCCTGACGCTCACGTGGTGAACAATTGGGGCACCTTGTTTACGCCAGAAAGCAGATAGAGGGAGTTCTTGACTTGACGCTTGGCCGTTGACTCGTATTTATGACAGTCAAACAGTCCCGGGGGGTGGGAGGAGGAGTATCACGTGATCCCCGGGAAGCTGGGTTCACTTAACGGCCGTGTGACTTGCGGGGATTTGCTTCATCCCCGTGAGCCAAAACTGAGTCAAAACTCAACTTCGCTGGGCCACTTAGCCACAGGAATGGTGGTCGTAAATTGAGGACTGCCCTTATGTATATATTTTTAAGGAAATAGGCTTATTCAGGGGTAATGGACAATGACAATAAAAGCTGTGTTATACCGGGGAAATCTGCTAGGGATAATGCAACGCAGCGGGGGGCACTAAAGCAGATTAGTCTCTACAGCCCCCCCCCTCCCCTTTTCAAAGGGGGCTGCGGAGAGATTGGATTGGGGTGGGGGTGGGGGTGACATCTGCCAGAGGGAAAAAGGTGGGGGGGAGGCTGTCCTGGCATGAGGATCTGTTATTTTACAAGCTCAGGAAAAAAAAGAGATTCCGCATCCTTTGCCCGAAAACACAGAAATGGTCGGATTCGAACTCAGGATCCCGGGTTAATCTTTTTTTTTTGTTAATTTCCCCCCTGTTTTCTCCCACCAGGAAACGAAATCCTTCGCGGTGGGGATTTTTAAAGGCCAGATCATCACTGAGCAAGTTTTCCCTTATCCTTCAGGTAAAAGGAGTTGGGGGGGGAGGGGACAGGTGTGTTTGTGGGTCTGTGGGTTTTGTGAGTGTGGGGGATTGGCTGGTTCAGCACATGGACGTATGTGTGAAACGGCCCCTGGTTTCCTGGCTTGCTGGCAGTTGAGGCCCGTTTGCAAAAGAGCGGGGGGCTCTTAGAGTCCCCGGCGTCGCCCCCCCCCCACTGATGGGGAGGGGGGGTTCCCAGGAGGGGGGGTTGTGCTGGCACGACAGCAGTCCTCGACTTACAACCGCAATGGCAAACAAGCATTTCTGGCGCTCGGCAAGGTTAAACGAGCCACGCTTAATTTTGCAACTTATTTTCCTGCTGTCGGTCATTGGAATCGCTAAGGTTGTTAAACGAGTCACGTGGCCGTTAAGGGAATCCGGATCCCTCCCCCACCATTGACATTGCTGGCCAGAAGCCAGCAGGGAAGGTCGCAAACCGGGGGATTTCCCTGAATCCCGTGAGCGTGGGGGAAATGCTTCAACGGTTGTAAGTATGAGGACTGGGCCGAAGTCGCTTTTCTCAGTTCCTTGTAACTTTGGATGGTCACTAAGCGAATTCGTTGTAAGTCAAGAACTAATTTTTGATTTCGAAATGGGTTCTTCATTGCGTCGTTTTGGGGTTTTTGCAACGCTGCAATGGTCGTATGTCAAGGACGGTTATAAATCCCTTTTTTCAGTGCTGTTGCAGCTTTGCATTGTCACTAAACGACTGGACCTAAGTCGAGGACTGGTCGTAAGTCCCCTTTTTAAAATTTGAATGGTCACTAAACAGATGGACACAAGTCGAGGACTGGGCCTGTCCCCCTTTTTTAAAAGTTCAAATGGTCATTAAGCGAGTGGCCATAAGTCGAGGTCTGGCCGTAAGTTACTTTTTCCAGAGTCATGGTAACGTCGAACATTTGCGGAACAAACGGATGTAAGTCAAGGAGTAGTCGGCCACTTTTAAACAAACGGACGTTAAGTCTGAGGACTGTCCCGCCCCAAATAACGCCCCCTTCTGGTTTTCTCACAGTCCTCAATGAGGAGCAGACGCAAACGTTGCGGGAGCTGGTGGATCCCGTCGCTCGTTTCTTTGAGGTGAGGGGGTGAAGAGTGGCGGCCGTTGGGTTGGGGGGGGCAGGTGGGAGGTCAGCGCGCCGTAAAACAATGCCCCCCTTTCCCGTTTCCGCAGGAGATGAACAACCCGTCCCGGAATGAGGAGCTGGGGCACGTGCAGGAGAAGACGATGAGGGGCCTGAAGGATATGGGGGCTTTCGGGTTGCAGGTGCCCACCGCCTTTGGGGGTCTGGGGCTCACCAACACCCAGGTCAGTCCTACACCACCCCCACCCCCGAGGGAGGGGGCTCGGATCTTCGGAGGCTGCGCATGCTTTGAGGCGTCCGATTCCAGTCCTTGAACAGAGCCCCCCTCTCTCCTCTCTGCCTCCCCCCCCAGTATGCCCGCATGGTGGAAATCGTGGGGATGCACGACCTGGGGGTGGGCATCACCCTTGGCGCCCACCAGTCCATCGGCTTCAAGGGCATCCTGCTCTACGGCTCCCGGGAGCAGAAGAAGAAGTACTTGCCCAAATTGGCAACTGGTAAGGCTGGGCACCGGAGGGGGGGACTCTGCCAGGGCGGGGCGGAGCGCAAGGGACGCCCACCCACCCCCAAGCCAGATGGTCTCTTTCTGACTGAGGCTGAGAAGAGATTTTATTTCTCCTTCTTTTGTTTATCTTTTCTTTTCTTTTATTCCTCTTTTCTTTTATTTTTTTTAATTTTTATTTATGCTTCGTTTATTTATTTATTTTAGGTTTATTTTCTGTAGGATGTTTTATTTATGCTTGTATGTTATCTTTATGGTGCGTTTTACTTAACTTATTTATTTTACTTCTGTTTCTATTATAAATTGTTTTTATTGATTGATTGTTTTATTGATGATCTTTCTGTTTATTTTATTTAGGTTTTCTTTGTTTTACGTTTAATGTTTATTTTATTTAGCTTTTATTTATTTTACGTTTAATGTTTATTTTATTTAGCTTTTATTTATTTTACGTTTAATGTTTATTTTATTTTGCTTTTATTTATTTTACGATTAATGTTTATTTTATTTAGCTTTTATTTATTTTACGATTAATGTTTATTTTACTTAGTTTTTATTTGTTTTACGTTTAATGTTTATTTTATTTTGCTTTTATTTATTTTACGTTTAATGTTTATTTTATTTAGGTTTTCTTTGTTTTACGATTAATGTTTATTTTATTTAGGTTTTATTTATTTTACATTTAATGTTTATTTTATTTAGTTTTTATTTATTTTACGATTAATGTTTATTTTATTTAGTTTTTATTTATTTTACGTTTAATGTTTATTTTATTTAGCTTTCATTTATTTTACGTTTAATGTTTATTTTATTTAGCTTTTATTTATTTTACGTTTAATGTTTATTTTATTTACCTTTATTTATTTTACGTTTAATGTTTATTTTATTTAGCTTTTATTTATTTTACGTTTAATGTTTATTTTATTTAGCTTTTATTTATTTTACGCTTAATGTTTATTTTATTTACTTTATTTGTTTTGTTTTTTTATTTTATTTATGTTTGGTTATTTATGTGTTTTATATGTTTATGTTTATTTTAAATATGATTTATTTCTGTTTGTATTTATAGATTATCTTTGTTTTTTACTTACATTTCATTTCTGTTTGTATTTATATTTTTATTGATTGTTGATTATTTGGGTTTATTTTATTTGTTTTATTGATTTTGTTTTTATTTTATTTATTTTTATGTTTAATCTGCTTTATTTACTTTATTTTGTTTTTTATTTTATTTATATTTGCTTATTTTGTTGTTTTATTTATGTTTATATTTTAGTTGTTTTTTATTTATTTCATTTGTATTTTATTTCTTATGTTTTTATTCACTGATTGTTTTTATTTATTATTTATTTCTGTGTTTATTTTATTATTCGATTTATCTCCCAGTTTTGGTTGCGCATCTCATCAAGGCAGCACCTCCAATTTTCCCACAACAGCCCTGTGAGGTGGGTTGGGCTGAGAGAGAGAGGGAGACTGGACCAAAGGCACCTAGATGGCTTTTCTGCGGTGGATCTAGAACTCACCATCGCCTGGTGATTGGCCTAAAGTCACCCAGCCGCCTTTATGGCTAAGGCAGGACTAGAACTCACCATCTCCTGGTGATTGACACAGCCAGCCATCTTTTCTAAGGTGGAACTAGAATTCACCATCACCTGGTGATTGTCCCAAAGTCATCAGGCCAGCTGTCACAGCTTAGCCGGGACTAGAATTCCCAGTCTCTTGCTGATTGACCAAAGTCACCCAGCCCGCTTTCATTTCTAAGGCAGGACTAGAACTCACGCGTCCTCGCGATTGGCCCAAGGGCACCCAATCGGCTTTCATGACGGTTGTGGGACTAGAACTCCCGGTCTCCCGCTTTCTCGTCCTATCACTTTCAACTCAACACCAAGCTTTTTGTTCTGGCCCAGCTCCCAGAACACGACAAACCACCTTAATTTAAATCAAGGATTCATTTAATTAGAAGCGCGATTTAACAATTTTGGCCGGCAGGGAGATTAATAATTCGTCCCGAGGTCTGGCCCATAGGTTTCCACTGCTCTCCTCTCCCCTCTCCTCTGCCGCAACACTTTCTCTTACATTTCCTTTGCCTGCCGCTTGGGTTTTGTGGTGTGCTGGGGGAGGGGGGGGGAGGGCATAGAGGAACACCTTTCGTGTTACTTTCCCCTCCACGCCCCTCCCCCCACCCAGGTGAGACCATCGCCGCGTACTGCCTGACCGAGAACACCAGCGGCTCCGACGCGGCCTCGATCCGGAGCAGAGCCGAACTAAGCCCTTGCGGTACCTACTACACACTCAATGGGAGCAAATTGTGGATCAGGTGAGGCGGCCTCGGGACTCAGGGGGGGACGACACACAGGTGATGTGCCCCCCCCCCCCATCATTCATAGAATGTCTTTAAAAGGGATTGAAATACAGGCCATCCTTGACTTACGACCATTTGTTTAGCAACCGCTGGAAGTTACAACAGCACTGGAACAAGGGACTTAAGATCATGTTTCACATTTACGACCGTTGCCGCAGCCCGCCATGGTCAAAATTCAGATTCTGGACAACTGTCTTCTATTTATGATGGTTGTAGAATCCTGGGTTAATGAATTCTGATTTTGATTGATCCGGATTGATTCCAGTTCTGGAGACGAGGCTCAAATCTAAATTTTTTGCACATCAATATTGCCGATAAAGAAGGTCGTTCCGGACTTATAACCAGAACGGGGAGCAGAATTTCCGTCGCTTAGTGAGACAGTGGTCCTGGGAATCATGCTGAATTTTTCTCACCTGTTTTTCCATGATCGTTAAACATTGGTCGTTAAGTGAATCCAGTGGTGGTTAAGTGAATCGGGCTTCCCCGTAGACTTCCGCTTCTCTGAAAGACCGGTCAGGTGACTTCCTGGACACCACGACCGTCGTAAATGCGTGCTGGTTGCCAAGAATCTGAATTTTGCCATACCGAGGATGCCGCGACGGTCGTAAATGTGAGGACAGACCCCAAGACACTTGTTTTTCCTTTGGCGTGGTAAATTGAAACGGTTGCTAAACAAGTCTGCCGTTCCCTGTACAAACGACAGAGAAAGCAGAAGGCGAAAGAGGGAAATAAATAACAAGGTTTCAATTTGGGGAGGGTCTTTTGCAAGGGTCCTAAATCTGCCTTTTTTCACCCAGCAATGGCGGCATTGCCGACATATTCACCGTCTTTGCCAAAACCCCGCAGCAAGACGAGACGGGGAAGATGAAGGACAAGATCACGGCCTTCATCGTGGAGCGGTCTTTTGGGGGGGTCACCAGGTGAGTTGTCGAGGGACACCCCCTCCCCTATATCCGAGCATTGGCATTTTTGGTTCCTTTTGGGGTGCGGAGATGGGGAGCCCCTCCCCACGTCTTGAGCCGGTGTGGTGAAGTTTGGGGCAGGGCAGAGAAGAGCAAAACACACACACATACACCGGGGGTCTCCTATGATTGGGGTCTCTAACCTTGGCAACTTTAAGACTGGTTGGACTTCAACTCCCAGAATTCCTCCCAGCTTGGCTAGTCTTCAAGTCTCTGCCTGCTTACTCTCTTGTAATCCCTTCCTCCGCGATCGCTCCGCTCTAGGGAGTAGGAGGATTCATTTAAAAAGGCATCATTGAATGGGGATGTCAAGTTTCCAAAGGATGCCGTAATTGATTCATAATACTCAAGCCAATGTTTGAATACAAAAACCAGTGATTTAGTAATAGCTGCGTTAGGCAAGATTTGTTCACAGTCAAGTCTTTGCTTTCAGTCTGTGTCATAAATCACATTACCCACTAGATACACCCCCTCCCACTCATTCTGTCCCCATGACAACACGGAGCGTTGACGGGGGAATTCTGGGAGTTGAAGTCCACGAGTCTTAAAAGTGGGCCAAGCTTGAAGACCCCTGTTTTGGGGGTGTGCTAATTTTCCCTCCTTCCCTCCCCCCACCCAGCGGCCCCCCCGAGAAGAAGATGGGCATCAAAGCGTCCAACACAGCCGAAGTCCACTTTGATAATGTCCGAGTGCCGGTGGAGAACGTTCTAGGCGCACCAGGCGCCGGGTTCAAGGTGGCCATGAATATCCTGAACAACGGGCGCTTCGGCATGGCGGCCGCTATGGCGGGCACCATGCGGGCACTCATTCACAAGGCGGTGAGTGACTTTGGGGCCCCCACTTGCTTCCCGGGTGCCCCCCCCTCCTAGAAGTTATCGCCCGGGGCGTATTCCCCTCCATCCCCTTATACCGGCAGTCCTCGACTTAACGACCGCGAGTGAGGCCCAATTTTTCTGTGACTAAGCGAGACGGTTCTTCGGTGAGTCTTGCACCGTTTTACGGCGCACCTTTCTTGCCAAGGTCGTTAAGCGAATCACTGTGGTAAGTCTAATGCAGGCAGTCCTTGACTTATAACCTTGTGGCCAGGTGAGTTTTGCCCCCTTTTACGACCTCGCTTGCCAAAGTTGTCCAGTGAGTCCCACCGTCATTAAGCGAATCCGGCACCCCCGTTGGCTTTGCTTGAGGGAATGGTGTGACACCTGCCCCTCCCCCTCCTGGGACGTTGCGACCGTCATAAATATGAATAGATTTCCAAGCGTCCGGATTTTGATCATGTGACTGCAGTGGTCATAAGTGTGAAAAAATGGTCGTGAGTGTGAAAAATGGTCATAAGTGTGAAAAAATGGTCGTAAGTGTGAAAAAACACTCCTAAGTCACTTATTTCAGTGCCCTTGGACCTTTGAATGGTCGCTGAGTGGATGGTTGTAAGTCGAGGATTAGTATTTTCCCCCCTTCTAAATCCTACTCTCTTCTTTTTCCCTTTCTCTTCTTCCCAAAGGTGGATTTTGCTGCCAACCGAACTCAATTTGGGGAAAAAATCCACACTTTCGGAGGCATTCAGGAGAAACTCGCCCGCATGGCGCTCCTCCACTACGTGACAGAGGTACGAGTGCGCAAAGCCGGTGGGCCGCCTTGAGGACTAGCAACTTAGTTTTCCGAAAGATACCGATACTGACCACGCCTTGAAGGGGAAAAAAATTAGCCCAGAACAACATGAAAAACCCTTTCTGTGATACTTGTAGTCCTCGCCATAACGACCGGAATGGATCCCTGAATTCCAGTCGTAAGTCGTGCTGGGCGTTAAGCAGATCCCTAGGGAATGGCGTCCATTTTTATGCCCACTTTTGCGGCGGTCTTTAAGTGAATTCATCTCAGTCTCAATGGTTTTTGAGGGTTTTTTTGGCCAGAAATGGGAATTAGAGACGTTTTATGGCAAAATCTTTAATATTTTTATTGTATTCTATTTGATTGTGGGCAGGTTTTACATGACATCCTTTAAATCCCCTAATAATTAATATTTAGTCATGAATGTAATTAATGTTAATATTGGATCGTTGTGTCCTATTAATGCAGTAAAACACCCAGATTTGCCCTATGCCAAGAGGGACAACCAATACATTTAATTAAAAATTAAATAAATACAGTTTTAAAACTCATAAATTGTGGTCACATGACTGCGGGATGCTACGAACGGGCCAATATCCAACCCTATCTACTAGGCGGCGAACAATATAATAAAAAGCTTTAAAATGCTTCAAAGATTATGGTTATTAAACAATATTAATATTAAACAATTAAGAGCCGAGGTGGCGCAGTGGTTAGGGTGCAGTACTGCAGGCCACTTCAGCTGACTGCGATCTGCAGTTCGGCGGTTCAAATCTCACCGGCTCAAGGTTGACTCAGCCTTCCATCCTTCCGAGGTGGGTGAAATGAGGACCCGGATTGTTGGGGGCGATATGCTGACTCTGTAAACCGCTTAGAGAGGGCTGAAAGCCCTGTGAAGCGGTATATAAGTCTAATAAATAAATAAATATTTTAAAATCTTAGTCAATGGCCTATATGATCAGTGCCAACATGGATCGCGGGGCGTCCGACTTCCAGATTGAGGCAGCCATCAGCAAAATCTTCGGCTCGGTGAGTGACTGGAGGGGGGGGCACCGGGGTGAAAATACGGTTATGGTCTCCACTCCCTCCCCCCCCCC